TATAAAGAATTTTATGGATAAGTGTCATATACACACGTTGTATTCTTGTAACCCAAACCACCTTGGCTATATACATATCAAATGTCACCCTCCTCAAAGGCATGATCTGACATGTTTTTCCCCATCTTCTATTTATCTACAGAGAGGGGACGTGCTTGATAAGAGAAGAGAAGGTTCGAGGTTCACTAAGTTACAAAAGGAAGATGCGGTGTGTGCTGCTAATTTAGTCTGCACCTAGAGCTCAATTAATTGAACAATTCAGCTTATGAGATGACATGGTGGATATTTGTCCATGTCAAGGATGATAAGTTATTGTCAAGGTGAGATGATCGAGCTTTGGTTGAGTTGGTTCTAGCATGATTCCAACTAAGATGTCGAGTTCGTATGTATTGTGCAGCATGTCTCTTGGCTTGTGAATGTGCAAGGTTAAGTGCATTAAGGTGGTCGACAACAATGGAGAAGGTCAAGCGAGGAGTTTGGGTTGATGGACCAAGGATGGTGGAGAGTAAACACGAATACTTGCATCAAGTGACCAAGGGTCTGGAGGATGGACCAAGTATGGCTAGCACATGACACGACTTAAGAGCAACAACAAACATGGAGATGGTGATGAAGACAACATTGACAAAAGTTGTCAAGGTTAGGGTTCAACAAAGTCAAGGCAAGGCATCGTGAGCACTTGGTGGACCGACGGGCCAAGGACATGAAGGACACACGTCCACATCAGAGGGTTGCATACAACTAGATGGCCTAGGAGGGTTTGGTGTTCTCGGCCTAAAAAATACAGGAAGAGTGGTTTTTGAGTTTGGGCCTCAAAACCTAGAGGAGGACTCTGGGGAGGCACATGGGGTCATCGAGTTGAGGTGAAGCAACTTCATGAAGGGCCCATGACCCTCCGATGCTTCAAGACCATCTAGACCATTTTGCCCCAGCGGTGGTCAAGTGGTCTGTGTCTAAATGTATGGGCATTCTTGGAATGTGTAATTGATCAACCCTTCTTCTCTTCTCACGTAGTTGATCATACAAGCTTCCTAACTATGTCTCTTCATCGAATGATAACTCCTCTATCTCGTTGTGTCTGAAGAGTGTCGTTTGAATGCCTCGTGTTGCCTAATCTGAATGTTGCACCGTGTTGTTAGCAGCTGGTGGTTGTCGCTTGAAGGTGAACTCCTCAAAGGGGCTGATGGGTGGGACATGTGTGGTTGGGTTATTGCTTTGATTTGGTGCAGTAGCTAGGAAAATGGTTGCATTTGAAGGATCCCTCTGGGTATTATTTTGAGTGTTGTGGGTCACTGAGAGGTGTCCTTGATGTTGTCTTTCTTGCCATCGTTGTTGATTGAAAAGTACGAACCGCGGACAATGCCAACTATCGAGAATATTGGTTCCTGCTCAAACCCTCGTTAAGAGAAAACTATGATAACTTGAAGAAAAAAGATCTTCTTAAGCACAATGTCCAGGGGCTGTCTTACCCCCCGCGGGTCGAGTTTTTTTAAAGGCTAGTGTTGTATTCCTCCATTTTTATGACTGTTACAAACATCATATTAATTGGGGAGCCAAATGGTCACTCTCCAATTACAAGATATCTCTAGTCTAGCTACTACATTCCTGTCATGTTTGAGGGCACAATAGTCTAGATCTGCTAATCCCATGGTTTTCGCTTGCTCCGCACCTCGTGACTCTAGTCTGGTGCACAGCATGAATCTTTGAGTCTCCCAAAGGTTTATTTTTTATACAGATGGTGTCTGTATATAGCCACAAGTTGTCTTTAAAATTCTTTTTAGTAGTGTTATTAAAAAAAGAAATTCAGTGTTTTTTTAGGCAAGTCGGCAGTAAGGAAGACTCCTAGCCGGCATGTCGGCAGGGTCTCCTAGCCGTTTTTTTTTTCCACATATATGCGTGTGAACAAGTTTTGACCTTGACCAGGGCATATGCAGCTTGCAAGGACGTCCAAAATTGCAGCTGGTGGCAAAGATCGGAGTGACGGACGGGCAAGCATTATGTGGACTTCATTTTTGCCATGGTCTCATTCCGCCATGCACTTGCACTACTGCTAGGTTCACACACAAAAAAAAAAGAAAGAAAGAAAAAAAAAACTGAGCGAGATCAAGTTTGGCGAGGGTGAGAGCTTAGACTATCATGATAACCTTGCCAATGATGCTTTGTGCGGCACTATTATTCTCTCTGGTGATTGTTTGGTCTCCAGTAGAGCCGTCGTCGACCACCGTGCTAGCAGCCTCCGGAAGCATCATGGCCGGAGGAAACAGGACGTCGTTGGACGGCTGCCCGACGTCGAGCTGCGGCAATCTGACGTTCGCCTACCCATTCGGCGTCGGAGCGGATTGCTCCCAGGGGCCCGATTTCAGCTTGATCTGCAACGACGACGCCAGTCGGCCCCCGAAACTCTTCTTGCGAGACGGCGTCACCGAGGTGGTCGAAAGCATCGAAGTTAACATCGCCGGCTGGTATCAGGACTTCGTCTTGGTCTCCATGTGGCGTGCCATCCCCATGAACTCCGGTGTACGCGCGTGTACAACATGTCCCTGGAAACCCCTGGGAGGTCCTTCTCATTTGACACCTCTGCAACATTCAGTGTGACCGGCTGCGACCTGGACGTGTACTGGATCGACCAGATGACCAGCAGGCCTGTGTTTGGTTGCTCAACTTGGTGCCCCGGCAGCGAAGAAATAATCACGGAGGCCACCATGTTCATTCTCACCAGATGCACTGAGAAAAAAAAATCTTAGAAATTATCACAGTAATCAGAAACATTAGACATTTGATTTGTATATTCTAATCATCATTACCAATAATAACCATTGGATCTATTCTGTTTTATAAAAGATTCCCACCTCTACCGTTATGAAAAAATCTATAAAGTAACCCTAAATTTGTATTCAAATTACCCACCATTGTCATTATAAAAGATAACTCACAATAACCCCCCTAATTTGAATCTAAATTGTCCACCTATGCCATTATGTAAGATAATTCAAATAAGTCCATAAATTTGTATCTAAATTAACCACCTCTATCATTATGAAAAATAATTTAAAGTAACATTCTAATACTTTTTTATAAATTACACACTCCTGCTGATATGAAAGATAATGCAAACATAACCTCTAAGTTTAAATTTAAGTTATCCAGATATGCTATTATAAAAGATAATATAGAAAGTAATATCTTTTAATTTGTATCTAAATTATCCACCTTAACTGTGTTATATCTTTCAAATCTATATGTAAATACTACTATAATCTATTATGAAAAATAATTCAATATTCATAAATTCTACTATGTATATTTCTAAATTACACATTTTATCACTATTAAGTTAGAAGTAAGCATAACTCTATGCATGATGTAGTACAAATAAACATGTATATCTTAGGATAAATATTTATTGTAATTGCTTATCAAGTGTGGAAAAATGTTCTCTTAACTAACCACATAGTGATGGTACTGCCAATTCACTTTAAGTTATATTGATACTCCATGATAATGAATTTTGTAAGTTATTATTTTAAATAAGTTTATACATTTGGACTGAAATATTATGTCATATCAATATGGTAACTATTTCATTTTAAGCGCTCTATGTTTTATAAAATAATACTACTACATATAATTCTTTGATATAGATCATGGTGCATAGCATTATGCTTACTTCTAACTTATATTTCTCATGAGATCTAATTTAATAAGCACTCTATGTTACTGGTATGTTGGGTGACGATCCGAATTCAAAGAAGGCAGAAGAAGAATTGGGGCCCGATGAGAGATAAGAAGAGAGAGAGAGAGAGAGAGAGAGAGAGAGAGAGAGAGAGAGAGAGAACCAAAGCAAGGGATAACGGTCAAGTGCACATTTCATTCATGCCATGGCTATCTGAAAAGCATCCTGAGTGCCACGGCGCAAACTAAAAAGACTATTTATGTCATTTTAAGAACTCAAAGGGAAGCCTAGACCTAGAATTTTTTAAAATAAAACTGAAGATAATTTTTTTTAATAAAAGATATAATTAGCACAAAGGTTTTAACTTAGCTTGTTGATTAAAAATTGCTATAAGTAGATTAAAATTTGAAAGCTAAAAATATAGATTCATGATGTAACAGAAAAGGATACAGCAAGGGCTTATATATATATATATATATAACTTAGTCCTAGTTTCAACTAAATACGTATCATGCTATATAAAAGAATATAAATCGTAGAAATCCTAACTAGATGTCCCCAATGGAGCCTTCCTATTATCTCATGATATCGCTAGGAGAAAAAAGATAAATGACAAAATTTCTCACAAAAATCATAAAGATATGGGATCACTTAAATTTTAAGATCTATAACAACCTAAAGTATATATCTACCATAGTTGAAGTTAAGGTTTTAACTAAATTCATATTGAAAATATACATAATTGTCATGTGAAGGAAAAAAACTAAGTATATGGATGAAAAAATATATAGACCAGCGATTGATAAGTTTATCACAACTGGATAGATACTGCAGAGTATCTATTACGCTTCATTGTATTAGAAAATGAATAAAGAGAAAAATGTATAGTTTAATCTAAGTTTTTTTTATTAGTCAGAGATATTAAAATATAACTAATGCATGTCTATTAGGATTAGCCTGCAGGAGTCGATGGACTAGTACACAAAATTTTAAAGTTCACTTAATCAGTAATTTTAAGTGTAGAAATGTGTATTTTACTCATTTGTTGGTATTTCTTAGATATATACAATTGTAATATCACTTTATATTTTCGCAACTGATTGAGTGAAACAAATGTTTTACTTATTTATTTGTTTATTACCATGAAAAGTGTAGCATACAAAATGACAAGTCGATTTATGCACGGTTACCTTTTTCATTTGGAACTTGAATGCATGGTTAACATGTTTCTTACTATAATCCAAAAGGAAACAGAGCTAACTGTACCCGTCACTGTGGAAACATCGATGTGCCATTCCCATTTGGCTTAGAAGATGGTTGCTTCGCTATGGAAAATTTTCGCCTCTTCTGCACAAATGTGACATCATCAGCTTTTCTCCATTTGGGACCTCCGGGGGATGTGATCATCAGTCTCCAAGTTAACGAAGGGATACTTAACTACACTGAAGAAATAATGAATGCGCCCGGTTTTAATCTTTTTTATGGTTATGGTTTGACAAGCAGCTCTATGCAATGGGTTGTTGCTAATCTAAGCTGTGCTGAAGCTAAACATAATACATCTGGGTATGCTTGTGTGAGTATCAACAGCAGGTGTGTGGAAGTGAACACATCTGACGGCTATTATTTTGGATACCGCTGCAAATGCACAGATGGCTTCCAAGGGAATCCGTACATTCAGAGTGGTTGTCAAGGTACCCGACATCTCTCTCCTTTTATCACTCACTTTGAAACTCTCTCTGCGTTGTCACATCTTAGATCTGGTTTGCAGATATTGATGAGTGCCTTCAGCAAGACATTTGTAAGGGCAGAATGTGCAGTAATATAGAAGGAAGCTTCAAGTGCATTGAATGCCCTCGAAAGACGATATATGATCAGGCAAATAATCAGTGTACTAGAACAAAGCAGCAGGTTCTGCTCATAGGTATCGTTACTGTTGTTACTAAATAACAACATTTGCTGCTCATATTTATTATTGTTATTGCTATTAGTATTTATATTGCAAAATAAGGTACAATATATATAAGGAGGTTATGTTCGTGTCTATATAGGTATTATTATCGTACTTTTGGGAGGCTTCAGCATCCTACTCCTGGCCTTTCTTGCATTATTTCTTGTCCGTAGATGGAGAAGAAATGTTCAAAAGCAACTATGGAGGACTTATTTCCAGAAGAACCAAGGTCTTCTACTAGAACAGTTGACGTCGCCTGACAAAACAAATATTTTCTCTCTTGAAGAGCTAGAAAAGGCAACAAATAACTTTGATCCCACACGTATCATTGGACATGGTGGCCACAGGATAGTCTGTAAAGGCATTTTATCTGACCAACGTGTTGTTGCAATAAAGAAGTCTCTAGTCATTGAGTACAGCGAGATCAAGCAATTCATCAATGAAGTTGCAATACTTTCTGAAATAAATCACAGAAACATCGTGAAGCTCTTTGGATGTTGTCTCGAATATGAGGTTACATTGCTTGTATATGATTATATTTCCAATGGATCATTGTCTCAAGTTCTCCATGATGAATCACGAAATGATGTTTCTTTGTCTTGGGCTGATTACATAAGAATCGCCACAGAAGCTGCAGGAGCTCTATCATATCTCCACTCAGCAGCTTCAATATCAGTCTTCCATCGTGATGTGAAGTCCTCTAATATACTCTTGGATGGGAACTACACAGCAAAAGTTTCAGACTTTAGCGCTTCAAGATTGGTTCCAGTTGATTAAACACACATTGTTACGAATGTACAAGGTACATTTGGTTACTTAGATCAAGAGTATTTCTATACGAGGCAACTAAATGAGAAGAGTGATGTGTATAGTTTCGGGGTGGTACTACTGGAGCTGCTTGTTAGAAAGAAGCCTATTTTCACAAGTAACTCAAGCTTGGTTCAGAACTTGTCAAACTACTTTCTTGAGGCATTGAAAGAGAGAGAAATCATTGATATAGTTGATCCTCAAGTTGCCTGATCCCTTGCGGAGATGTGCTTAAGATTACGCGGTGAAGAAAGGCCTACAATGAAGCAAGTGGAGATGGAATTACAGATTTTACGAGAGAAACAGGTGAGCACTTGCCAAAGCAGCCCGGAAAATGAGCAGCAAAATGAAACAATATTGCTAACTCGAAGAGCTAAAGCTACTTGCCAAGCATTTGCCACAGAACCAGGTCAGGGAGCCAATTTACCACGGAACGAGATCCTCTAACTTGGGGCTCTTTCTACTGCAGAGGACGTAGGACCTCCGATGCCGTCCGTTCCGCATCCTTCGGCACGAAGAAAAGCAAACAGAGGAGGAGAAGGAGAAAACAATAACAGCGTTGGATGGACAGGGAAGGCATCCAGTCTGGTCAAAAATGGCATCCAGTCGCTCGCGCTTGCTTCGCCGTCGCTTGCTTAACCTTAGCAGCAGCCGGCGGGGAGGAGGCGCCAAACTGCTCGTTCCTGCAACTCGTGGCAACTCGGTCAATCTGAGCCCGCGCGCATCTGGACCCCGACTCGGAATCGCAGCTGTCACCGACGAGCTCGGAATCGCGGCGGCCATCCCTGAGTGAACCGCTGCGGTGACCGATGACCCCGTGCGCATCTCACCCCACCTGGTGTCGTTGACATAGTGAGCTGCTGTGATGCACATGTATTCTTAGCTGCCATGTTCTCTGAATATGCAATGTAATGGCAATGCTATTTGAAATACAATTGTAATAACACTGTCCTCTTTATATGTATTTTATTTGGAGTGCTGTCTGAATATGTAATGTTCTCCAAATACGTCCTTTGAAATTGACATATGCTCTCTGAAATGGACGTGTTTTCTGAAATTCCATGATGAAAGTGCATCATTCAGTTTCTGAAATTGACAGAAAAGTGAGTGCTAATGCCCACTTCAGTTCCAGAACACATCCAGATACTTACATTAAGTTGTAGTTAACATATATACTATACATTCAGATGTCATCGACTTGACTATATACAAGACTAAATTGAAACAGTACTATAGTGCAGGTGGCCAAAGATAACTGAATTGCATTGAAAATCCTCCATTCTTCATATCCTACTCTTGTCACAGGGTTGCCCAAAAACAAAAGTATCATCTGTGATTGGTCCTTCATGGTACCTTGCTGAACAATTCAGAGCAATAGGTGGAGACCTGAACCTTGCAAAATGACCCAAATAGAATTACTTCACCACAGCTGAGATAAAACAGCATTCGTCATTGGTTCCTGTAAATTAAATAGAAGTAAGTCTATTTAAAGAAAAATCAGTTACCATCCCTGATCATCTCTAGATAAAATAAAGAAGTATTTTACCGTTAACATTTGAGTGAAGCTAAGGTTGACCTTGTAATCTTCAGAGTCCTCTTTGTCCTTGTAAACAATATCATTAGCAACTTGTTTTTCTGCTTGTGCACCACTACTACCTGCCTCTTCCCCAACCTCTTGTATCTTGCAGTAAAAAAATTAGAGGGATTAGGGAAATACTGGACAGAATGATAAGAGTACAAATGCAACATTCCTTTAGCAACATACCACTGAAATATGTGTTACTTGTGCTTGTGGAGCATCATTACTTGCTTCTTTCGCAAGCTGTGTTGTAGCTTTGTTTTGTCTCTTTTTTTTAGCCTTGTGCTTCTTATCAAGCCAAGTTCTTTTTCGTTTTGAACTTTTCGTTTGGACCTCCTTTTTCTTTAGGCATGCACTACTCAATATTTCATTTGGTGGACTGACATCTGTAGAAACTGTAGGTAGATACTCATGTGTGCTTGTATATGCATTGATTTTGTCTTCAATTTGCTGACCGAGGATGTCAAGTGTGCTGTCTACTAACATACTGCATTCAGGAAAGTTGGCTGCTCGATGTGCTAAATTATGTAATTTGTGGGACATAAATCTGTAGCGAAGCATAGCATTCATCTTGGGATTTTCGATTATATTTCTTCCCTTGTTGTCTTGAATAATTCCACTACGTGCTTGGTGAAAGCTGCCAAAGATCTTTCATATTCACCTTGAAAAGCCTCAAATATAATAGGTGTATACAAGTTGCTAGCTTGCATTAACATAGGTGGTGGTCTCCTCATACAGATTTTAGGTAACTTTTTCCTTGAATCAAATTATGAATTTAGTTCATTATTCCTTTTTCCTTGCACCACCCTTTCAAAATGCTTAAAGAACCGAATAATCAAAATCAGATTTGAAATGGATTTTCAAGTCATTGTTCAAACTCTCGCTCAATTGTGTACTTCTCATTCCTAATGTGAAGACATCCTTCATATAACATTCAGCCCATTTTTCTTTCACCTTGTATATACTATCCAACCAAGCTGGCTGCTCACCTTTTTCCTCAAGAGGTCAAACTTTTGCCTCAATTGATCAAACTTTTATTCAAATTCTGCCATGTCCTCATACTCAAACATGCACGCACTGAAATATGATAGAATACTAGTGTCTTCATTTTTCTCTTTTCTTTTCTCTCTTTTATTCTCTTCGTTCTTCTCTTCATGTAGATGTTTGATAGCATTCTGCATAATGTGAAAGGTGCATAGTCCATGCCATGCTTCTGCAAAATCTGCTGCAAATGCGCTTTCCCATTGCAACATCTTGATCTGTTTAGAATGTTTTAGGTTGCTGTCCATTTTGAGTTTTAGAAAAGTCTTAAATATCCACTTGAAAGATTCAAATGTTTAATCATACATGAGTGCAGCACCAAAACTACAATTTCTCTAAAATGGTTGAATCCGGACAAAGACACCAAAAAAGACCTGCTCTCCTTGTTAGTTCTAAAAGTAGTGTCAAAACTAACAACATCACCAAAGTGTGCATAGTCCATAATCATTTTAGCATCAGCCCAGAATATGTTTGTTATCTGTTCTTCACAATCCATTTGCAATGCATATTGGAATGATGGATTTTCAGCAATTTTGTCTTGAAAATACTTAAGCATGCTACCTGCTTGGCCATATGCCATCTCTCGTTGTCGCTTGGTGCGCAAATAGTTCTTGTGATCACAAAGGGTGTAACTAAAATTGAGTGGTCCACCAACTTGGTGGCTAGCCAACTCATGTGCTGCTTTTGGTCCAATTCCCGCATCATCTGCCGTTTCAATTTCAAATGCTTGTAAATCAGAAATTTTCCTATGTGACACCAATAAGTGAAAGGTTTTTGGTAGGTGTAGTTTGTGATTGTGTTCCAAAATGACATCAGATACTTTATAATGTCCCTCCTTTCGATCCAATTTAAGAGTCATGCGGACTTGACAATCCGTTCTAGTTTCAGCTCGAAGGCATTTAGTTAAATGATCCCTTTTGTCCTACAGCCTATGACCCTCATTTGCACAAACAAATCTACTTGATGTAACCATGCCATCAGAAGGTCTTTTGTTTGTATACCTTTTTCTAACCTCAAAACCTTTTTGTCCACCGTAGCTAAGCCAAAATGCCCAAGCCTCATTCCAAGTTCGAAACTCCATGCCAACATGAGGTGCCAAGCCAGGTAGTATATCTCTGCAACAAAAAAGAATAACATGAGAAGGGCTTGTGGAAGTACAGAGAAAAAATTATGAAATAGATTAGCACTACCAGGGTAAAATACTTATGATGTCACATAAGAAATGATAAAGTGGGGTTATGCTGCTTACGTATTGGAATCATGATGCAATCTGTAAGTTTGTTCTTTGTTCTTCCATCGTGCTTCTTACATGACAACAGGAGAAGCAAAAACTAAGTCTGCAACCTAGTGATGAAATTTCAATCAATCTCAGTGAAGCCACTGTAAAGAGGAACGACGAGAGAGAAGGGAGTAAGATTACTCACACCTGCACACAATTGAAGTGCAGAGGAGAAGCTCGGTCGTCTGGCGATCGTAAGCGTCGTCTTTGGCGCCTTTTCTCATCCGTTTTTACCAGGTTCGCGCTTTTCCTTCCATCCGCGCTGTTATTGGGCTCCTTCTTTCCCTCCTCTGTTTGCTTTTTCTCCGTGCCGCAGGATGTGGAATGGATGGCATCGGAGGTCCTACATCCTCTGCAGTAGAAAGAGCCCAAGTTAGAGGATCTCGTTCCCATTTACCACTGGAACACAACCAGCGATGTTATAGTTTAGAGGAAGAGTTCATGGAATCTGCCACCCTACCACACTAGACGTGCTTATTGAGTATGATTGATTTAGTGCCAGTGGTTATCCATCTATAATGTATCACTCACCAGCAGGTCGCCTATAGTAATTTTATATATATAGAACCAGCGTTTCATTGGCTTTATTTGGTGTATAATAGGAGTATTTATCCGTACGTGAAGATATAGCTGTTCTTTCGCGTTAGAATAAACATTATTAAGAACTTTGAAAAACTATGAGATTGTGCCAGATAAATAGTAATCTGATTTATCATTTACCTGTTTCCATACACATGTAAAATAAGTTATCATATAAATAGTGCACACGTATATTTTAAGTTTTTAACCAAACTAGTGCGCATTGGCTCACTAATTTATATTAGGAGAAAACACCGGAGGCATGCTTCTATTGCTACAGCACCACGCGCCACCTATAAATTGAAATTGTTAACAAAGTCTCCATCCTGGTTATTAGGATTCCTCCCTTGTTCACCTATAAATTGAAGTTGTTAACAAAGTCTCGATCCTGGTTAGCTCCTTTTTTTTCTAGAATAGAGTTCGTATGCCCTGTGGACCATTCATCAATATAGCCAAAAAGCATCTATACTTGCAACTTTTCCATAACAGCACTTAGTTTTGCTATTAGTTATTATTAAAATAATATTATTTAAAAAGAAAATTCCCCGCGCAGCACCATCACACCTGGTTGGCAGCACTGCAGCAGCAACCAATGATCTGTTAGGCTCGGCTCACTTGGATATAGTAGCGTGTGGGCCGTGAGGTTTGTACATTTTCAGGACGTGTGGCTTGCAGCCTCACTAGCTGTTTGTTTCCACTTTGCTAAAAAAAAGACTGTTCATTTCCACTATTTTTTAATTGTCTTCAATCACAAAGTCTATACTTTTCCTTAAAAATAAACAATACCATATACTTTATTCTCTTTCCGTTCTAAATTAAGGCCATTTTAGCTTTTTAAATTATAATAAAATACTTCCTCTGATTTTATTTGCTTATCATATTAGCTTTATCCTAAATCAAATATTTATACTTTTGACTATCAATTTAAAAAAATACTATATATGTCTATGACATAAGATTTAAATTTTAGATTCACTATGAGAAATACTTTATAATATATAATTCATATGTTGTGAAATAATAGTAATACTTTCATAATTTATAATTCATATGTTGTGAAACAATAAGGATTTTTTTAAATGAATGGTCAAAGTTTGTAATGTTCGACTTAGGACAAAGCTAATGTGACTTGTAGAACACACGTATAATGAAGTGTACAGCAAAAATTAAGGCAGGACGATTTGTAATTTGGAACCGAGATAGTATATATATATAAAAGAAAAAACAGAAACCCTTATACATATAGCACCACATTTACGGAAGAGCGACCCTAATGGATCCCCTTTTTTCCTTAAAAACACAAAGCTATTTTTTTTTAACTCACCAATTCCTCTTTCCGAACTCAAAGTTGCACCTAAAAAAATAGAAAGCCAAGTTTTTTTTTATCTCACCAAATCCTTTTTCCCAATCAAGGATGTAAATCTCCCCCTATAAGCTCGCTTTCTCGAGATTTAACTATTTGCTCATATGTACTACCTCCGGTCCATTTTATCTGGCGCACACGCATATCCAAGATTCAAACTTTAAAAAATTTGACCAATAATTAGGATAATAATTTTTAACTGTTATAATACAAACTTTATATGATTAGATTTGTAAAGAAATATCTATCCAATGATTATAAGTTTATAAGCATAAATAATATAATATAAAGCAAACGAATGGTCAAAGTGTAATTTAGGAGACCGTGTCATTCTAACTTGTGCTAGATAAAATGGACCAGAGGGAATATGATTTAATCGATATACCTCGATTTGACCTGCTATTTAGAACGCTGTTCCCAACTTAGATTGGCCAAGACTTCACGCGGGCAGCCGCAGGCTACACTCCTCAGCTCTTTTCAGCTGCTTGTCCTGATTTATACAGATGATTTGTTGGGAGAGAAAAATAGTGTGCCATAGCTTATAAAGCTGCTGCCCGGCGGGCGCGCTTCGGGACCACGACTGCGATGGACAAGAGGCCGTGACGCGACGACTTGACAGCGCTTCGGCCGCCACTGTCCTGCTTTCAGCCAAAGACTTGACTAACGGACAGGACGACACGGCAAGCATTATCGAAAGTTCATAACCTCCCTTTCACATTCATGTCGAGCTGATCACACACACAACCACCGTTCAATGATTCAATCGCCGTTGCACTTGCACTGCTAGCTTCGCAATAAATCTCCGAGCGAATTATATTAAGATGCAGATCGAGATCAAGTTTCGCGAAATTTGGTAAAAGGTCCAACCAAACCTTTTGGTCACAAATTTCCTCACAAATCTGTTAGGGATAAGAGGAGGTTTGTAGAGAAGTGGTTATCTCAAAATGATTGGTTATCTCAAAATCTGTTAAGGATAAGAGGATGTATGTCTAGATGTCCTTTTTACATTCTTCAATGTTTTTATGATTAATGTCATTTTTAATTGACTTGTCTATAAAAATGGCAGGTTATGTACTTCATTTGTCTATCAATTGACACATCTATTATTGATACTTCTATTATTAAAAGGTAACATCTCGATTCTTGTTGGTTGTTCTACAATTTTTGCCCAAAACATAAGTTGTCGTTGGTAGCGAGATAACATCCAAATAGCACTTTCGATGTTGTCTTGAATCTGAGGTTCCGTTGCTGGTATATAACTATATTTCCAATGGATAATTGTCTCAAGTTCTCCATGCTGAATCACCACGAAATGATGATTCTTTGTTTTGGGATGATTACATAAGAATCGCCACAGAAGCTGCAGGAGCTCTATCATACCTCCACTCAACAGCTTCAATATCAGTCTTACATCGTGGTGTGAAGTCCTCTAATATAATCTTGGATGGGAACTACACAGCTAAAGTTTCAGACTTCGGCGCATCAAGATTGGTTCCAGTTGATCAAACACACATTGTTACACATTTGGTTACTTAGATCCGGAGTATTTCTATACAAGGCAGCTAAATGAGAAGAGTGATGTGTATAGTTTTGGAGTGGTACTACTGGAGATGCTTGTTAGAAAGAAGCCAGTTTTCACAAGTAACTCAGGCTTGGTTCAAAACTTGTCAAACTACTTTCTTGAGGCATTGAAAAACAAAGAAATCACTAATGTAGTTGATTCTCAAGTTGTTGAGGAAGCAACCAAGGAGGAGATTAGCAGCGTTGTCTCTCTTGCGGAGATGTTCTTAAGACTATGTGGTGAAGAAAGGCCTACAATGAAGCAAGTGGAGATGGAATTGCAGATTTTTACGAAAGAAACGGGTGAGCTCTTACCAAAGTGGCCTAGAAAATGGGCAGCAAAATAAAACAATGTTGCTAGCTCGAAGAGCTGAAGCTACTTGCCAAGCATTTGCCATACAACCAGGTTCTAGTTTAGAGAAAGAGTTCATGGAATCTGCCACCCTACCACGCTAGATGTGTTTATTGATTTGAGTATCGCTCGCTAGCAGGCCCCCTAATTGTGTTCACTGGTCATAACCAGTATAGTTAATGTAAGTCTATATATGGTTGTTCTTTCGCATTAGCATAAACATTTACTCAGAGCTTTGAAAAACTTTGAGACTGTGTCAATAAATAATAATTTCATGTATCGCTTACCTTTTTTCGGTACACATGTGAAATTTGATGTCTTCGACGCTCTTGGTGGCATGGCCTTCGATGAGCCTGTATTGTTGCCGCACGTCAAGCAGCATGATGCAGCATATCACTCGCATCTGGCTGTTGATTTGCGGCTCCCTCCCTCCTCCTTGGCAGTCAGCTCTAGCCACACCTTGTCCGCTACAGGAGCACCCTAAATACCCTTTTTAGGGGAACTTCGTCCCTTTTGTTGTCCCTTATATCCATAATGCCCCTGATGTAAACCACATTAGCACAACATTCAGCTGATAAAAATCCCAGTTGGCAACTTACGCAAGATCAAGGCATGCCACAAGATGGAGACTGTGGCCATGCATTTTTTTCGTTTCCTTTGGAGTTTGGATGGCCTTTTGATTCTAGAATTGAGTTATGAGTGGATGCCCTTTTGATTCTAGAATTGGATGGCCTTTTGATTCGATCTATGTATATGTGGTTTTGTGTACAAACTAGAATGGTGTTCAAAGATTGATGGATCCTTTAAATGGTGGGTGCCAATCACAAATCACCAGAGCAAAAGGCCTTGAAAATTATCTATGCACTAGGAATGTTTAGGAGAGAAACGCTGCCTTGGATAAATCTCCTGAACAGCAACTCAGCACCATTCTCAAGATCTCCCATGCTGCACTCTTGTGCTTGCAACTGTTCATCCTTGAAGGCAACCTTCCTTTTCTGCAATCTCTTGGAGACAAGAGACCATTTGCTTGCATTTGTGGTGGCAGTCTGCTTTGGCAAGAGACCAGATATGGATTCAAGTAGAGAGACAGCCATCTTTCTGGCTTCTGAAAACTAGCCTGATCAGTCTGCAGCCTTCAAAAGTTGTGTTGTTGCTGGCCTTCTTGAAAGACTTTTGTCACTTGTCAGTTTGTGCCTTCTTCACCAGACGCATAAAAGACACAACTTTGAGCTGAAAAGACAAACCGTCTCCTCTCCTGAGGGATAGTTGCAGCTCCTCGATAGTCATCTTCAGCTTTGCACAAGGGACTGCTCCAGCTCTTCCTCTACCATTTTCTTTTGTTGGGGTATGGAGAGCGAAGCTTGATTGCTTGGGGAACAGACATGATCTCCTCTACGCAGTTGTAGATGTCTCCAAGCATCCTCAGACCATCACACATCATGTCAATGTTGCGCATGGCAAAGAGATGAACGCCTTGAAGCTCTGCAACTCTTCTTCTACTTTGGCCTCAGTGGAGAAAGGTTTTGAAGGCAAACTTGTAGACCTCTGATGGGTAGTAGCCATGGTTCTAGATGCGATGGAAGATAGAAAGAGGAGAGCAATGCACTCCTGGTGATGAACCATTGTTGAGCATCCTATTTATTGGCAAGAGGCAGAAGCAATAAGAAACGATTTGCACGTTTGTTAGTGAAAGGAAGAGTTGACTCTGCTTCAGGTACCTAGTTTCCAATGTGGCAAGAACTATCCACCTCATAAAGCACCGGTGGCATGTCCCAGCCATCTGCGACAAGATCAATCAACAGAGTGATCTCTTGGCCATCTGAAAAGTTCAAACGTAATTCATTAGTGAAAAAGTAAGACTGTACACTTCGACTCCTTTGTGGAGTTAATATTGCCGAACAAGATGAGCTGTAACTATTTAAAGCCTAAGCCACCTTATTCAGTTTCTGATTGAAGACACACTTGTGGTGCTATCTCAGAGAGTGATCTCCTGACAATCTGTAAAGGTCAAAGTGAATTCATTAAATAGTGAAAAGGTAAGACTGCACACTTGACTCCTTTATGTAGTTATTAAAATTGGACCTAACAAGATGAGCAGTAACTGTTAAAGCCTAAATCACCGTATTCAGTTTCTGATTGAAGAGAAAATTGTGGCGCTATCTCAGAGCTCCTAGCCTTGGATTCTATGAGACCATAAGCTAATCTTTGAATCTGAAGCACACACACATCATAATGGATCCTGCCACAAGGGAAATAAATAAAGAACGCAAACATGAGCCTACAGATAACGAAATTTGTTTCTACACATCCACCATGTTCAGTTATGATGCACACACACATCATAACTGGAATCTCTCCTACGAGCCTTCATTAAAACCATGAACCATGACAACTGGACATCATTGCTATATAGCGGGGGTTCTATACTTCTATTCCCTTCCCATTTTCGACTCCGGTTCCATCAAACGCTGCTCCTAAAAGAGAAAGAAACTTACCCCGACTGAAATGTACTCGGCATTCCCGCTCCGGAGGCCGGAGGTCAATCCCACCTCAAAGAAGCCTCCTTGCACTGCACATTGGCGGGTTCCGTGCAGATCCAGCGGCTCAGGAGACCGATAACTCCAGGTCCGAGTTTTCCAGTAACTTTCTGTGCCGCTCGGGCATCCTGCTGAAACATGGGGGTGCGACCGAGGAGGACGGGTTTGTGGATGTGGTGGACGAAAGCGCCGGCGAAGGGGAATGGCTCGCCGGCGGCAAGGCCTGGGGATAACTCTATATACGAAGACTGCTCGTCGGTTGCAATGTGAGGTCCACGGGGGAGGAAGGCAGGGATATGTTACGAATTAATAAAATTGAATTCAAACTTCGAACAAAACGGGCATTTGGTCTAGTGGTATGATTCTCGCTTAGGGTGCGAGAGGTCCCGAGTTCAATTCTCGGAATGCCCCTCTTTTTTCATTTTTAGAAATTCTGTCACCTCGATCTATCTCTTCCAGACATGCTGCTGTTTTCTCTCAGGTATGAGTTTTACTTTCTTTTTTTTCCTAACGAACCAGCATGGATTTACTCCACCAAGATTATGTGTCCTCTAAAAACAGATTGAATTGTGTGCACTCTTTTCTCTCAGGTATGAGTTTTCCTTTTTCTTTGTTAACGAATCAGCACGGACTTGCTCCGCTAAGATTCTGTGTTCTCTAAAAACAGATTAAAATTACGTGCATTCTTTCGCTTCGTATTTTCCAACTACGTTTCAAATGGCCATGGGTTCTTTTGAGAAATTGAGTGCACCAAGCATGAATTCGTATATATCATCCATGTTAGGACGACCAATGACAAGTTGTATGCCAACTCTGATATGAAACGATAAGACGTTTACAAAAATGTTTTAGTGGATTTGGAATAATAAAACTTGGTGAAGTACGAAGGTTTTCATCAAACTATCAAAGAAGGAGCAAGCGCACAAGCTAGAACGATACCCTGCTATCACGTCGGATGCGAAATATTCAATATTTTTACTCAATCGATATGCACTTTTTTTTCTTTTTTTTTAAATGATGATGCACTCCTGTGTGTTCTAAATTCTTGTACCTCTTTGCAAACACATCTTCCTACTCCAGACAATAGCAAGTGCAAATGGGACGCAGAAAAATTGCCCTTAGGAACACATGCCCTCATATGCATAGATGCACATGGGGATGCATATGCAACAGGAGCACGCATTCTTATATGCATCCAACGATGCATGCACATGGGGCTTATGCCCTTATTAGGGGCAAAAACAACATTCATGATATAGATACAGGAAACTTGTCGCAGCAGAGAATCAAGAGGAGGGCACGTGGAGGAGAAAAGTGGCACATGCGGAGAAGGTCTTCTCCTAGAACCGTTGATATCACCGGCAGATAAAACAAATATTTTCTCTAGAAGAGCTAGAAAAGGCAACAAGTAACTTTGATCCAGCACGCATCATTGGACAGGGTGGTCATGGGATGGTTTATAAGGGCATTTTATCTAACCAACGTGTTTGCAATAAAAGAAGTCTATAGTCATCAAGTATAGTGTGAGATCAGGCAATTCATCAATGAAGTTGTGATACTTTACGAAATAAATCATTTGAAACATTGTGAAACTCTATGGATGTTGTCTCGAATATGAGATTCATTCTTTGGTATATGACTATATTTTCAATGGATCGGTCTCAAGTTCTTCATGCGGAATCACGAAATGATGTTTCTTTGTTTTGGGACGATTACATGAGAATTGCCATAGAAGCTACAGGTGCTCTATCATATCTCCACTCGTGGCTTTAATATTAGTCTTCCATCTGTTAGAACTAAACAATCTTAGACTGGATCGTAATCGCCTAGCTCACCACATTAAGCATAGATCGATCATGGCAATGCATGCACATGGGGCATATGCCCTTAGGGGCAAAAATAACATTCACGATGCGGATGCGTATGCGTGAGAGAATGAAAGAGGAGGGGCGTGGAGGAGAAAAGTGGCACATGCGGAGATGGGCAATGTCACTATGTCAAAACTGCAAAGAGAAGACACCATTATAAGTGACACGAAATTGTGACGCAGGCAGAAATTCAAACCATTTTCTCGAGCCGTATGAGGAGAAAACCTGTTATAGTTTCTAGGGGGTTTGTTTATCTACATCTATCCCTATAAGTTATCTATCAAATCGTTGCAATTGATGTTCGATCTCTGATGTACGGTCATAGACGTGTCTAGTAAGAACGCGTATATGAGGTGTTGGCTCCGAAGAAATAGGTTGCTAGAGGCATATATCAGAGATGCGGATCAAGAAAATGTGTCTGTGATTAAGAATGAGACGCGTCTGTGATATGGTTTTATATCAGTGACGCGTCTAGATGGATTTGGGTCTGTGCATTTTTTTTGTCTCGGGCGTGAAAAATATAAAGTCTAGTTAACTCTCGTGTCCCCCACGCCCCTTTCTCTCTTCCCACTATGGTTAGCCGCCGCCACCACCGGCGACTGTCGTCTCCTCCAATGATCCCGCACTGCTACATGCTGCCTCTTCTTGTCCCTCACCCATCTCCTCCCTCTACGCGCTCCCCTCCCATCCCTCAAGCGGCAATGGCGGTGAGGGATGCACCGGGGCACTGGCCATGGCAGCGAAGTGAGCAAAGAGTGCGGGCCGTGCGAGGGAGACTAGGTCTATGGTAGCTCACGCGAGGGAGGACAGGTCCACGACCTCTCGGATGAAGGAGGATAGATCTAGGGTTGCTTGTGCTTCATAGATATCGTCGATGGCGGGCATGGTGGGCTCGTCTTGGCTCTGGGAGGCAGCATGAAGGTGAGCGTGCCATTGTTCAAGCCCCCACATCCGAAGAGGAGTCGTACCTAGGGAGGGCGTCGCGCCACGGGGTCTAGACAATCCGCGTCTGTGATAACCCCTCGTCACAGACGAGTGTAGTAAAAACATGGCTGTGATAACCCTCATCACAGATGCGTCTTGACAACACACGTCTATGATGACTCCTTATCACGTATATGTTTTGTCAATACGTAGGCGTCTGTGATCTGGTTTTCTTACATAGTACCGTGTGTCGAAAGGGTGGTGAAGGAAGAGAATGGCATCGTGTGTGCCTTGTAACAATTATTTAACAAGAACTTGGGCAAGCATAACATTATATTCTCCATCATCTAACCCTGAATGGGATTGGTATGATCTCTCTTTATACATAGATGATGAAGATATAATGACAGTTCTCGCATTCATGCACGATTATTTTGATATATAAGCAATGTTTTATTGTATAATTTTTTCTTAAATAATAATGCCTGGAATGTTCAGATGCACATGTATGTGTGTTTCGTGTGTAGCACGGTTGTGCGGCGTCTATCACGAGTATACGTAGAGATAGACAGTGATGTGCAGTGTCTATCATGAGTATACATAGAGATAGACAGTGATGTACATATGTCTGCATACACATGACATGATACTAGTCTCAATATTTGTTAATACTTAATAATTAGCATCTTAGCATATGTCTACGCTAATACATAATGCTATGAACATGATACCTCTCACGTCAAAGAAAAATACTTGTGACGACCA